ATACATACATATATAAATATATATATATATAATTTAAAGTGAAATGACAGTGCTCACATTAGTAACTATCAAGTTCAAAAATGGAAACACATTAAGCCAAAGGGACGTTCCTTTCACAAGACATTCCTTAAGAGAGACCAAAGCAAAATGCTGTCTTACCTTTGGAGTTCTTCTTCTTTTTTGCTTTTGATGTAAGTTCATCCTGCAGTTCATCCACAAAGCTTTCATTTTGGCTGCCATCGTTTTGCACTCTCTCACCAGAGTGTTTACGCTTCCTGTCCAGACGTGGACATGGATGTTGGCCAATATCTTCTGCTGACTGGTCTTCCGCTTTTTCATATATAGAATGTCTCTCTAAATAACATTTCTCATTTGAGAGATCTTTTTCCTCTGGAGTTTCAAGAAAGTGACCTTGGTTGTTTTCTGTACTAGTAAAGTTACCTAAAAACAAAAAAACAAACACCACGACCTAATAAATACAAAACAATTCATTGTGAGCAAGCTATGCTCTCTGATCTCCTCAGAGTCATCTCCATCATGACTTATGTATGCCTCATGAGGTATGCAAATAAACACAAAACTGTACTTTGGAACAAGTCTCCGCTGGTCAGCCTAAGGCAGCGGTTTTCTCACCAGTTAAGTACAAAAACCCCATAAGCACAATACTTTCTGTTGTTTTTACATCCATTTAAGAAGTACAATATTCAAAATATCTGTATCCATAGAAACATCACAATATGCTATTTCAAATAAAGAAACATCTTTGGATATCAAAAGCACAGACCCTTTTCAGAAAGCAGCCTCGCCCCACAGAAACATGGTAAATAATGCAAACTCCACTTTGCAATGACTTTATTTTCAAAAATACCGTTTGATGATACTGAAGTATTAGTCTTTTGCTAATTCTTAATTCTTCCCTAACTTCTTGCACTGAACTGCAGAGTCTGACTTAAAAGCATTTGTCCCTTCTTCTGGAGATATAAATGGGATATGGAGCACACACACATGTACACGGGAATACCACCAAGAATAGCTGTGATATTTTGCAAAAAGCACTACTTGAGTCCAAGGTTATAAAAAGGTTCACTCACTTCAAGTAATCAGCCAGTCACTGTATATCACATGATCTCGGTCACCTCCTCTTAAAAAAGACCTCACTTTTTTCAGGCAATATTTCCAGCAGCAGCGAGCTATGAAAAGCTTACTAGAAACCAGTCTGACACATTAGCCACAAAAACACCCCATGTTGCCATGCCTGCCCTAACTTCAGCTTCCCCTCTCCAATACTGTTACCCCAAATTCAGAGACAGCTTAAGCAATTTTAAATGTGACACGTAATCATCACCTTGAATAAGTATTATTTTCCTGGGTTTAACCAAACTAGCCGAGGCACCGTTAGGCAGACACACAGTACAGACTGAAACACTGTTAATCAGCTTCCTATTCACAAGGCTCACAAACAAGTTGGTTTTCCCCCGTGTTTTAGCCCTCCTGGCTGACCAGTACTCTTTCTGCACATCTGCCGCTGTTTGACAAACTGTATGCTCTGTCCTCCTTCTGCATGGCTCACTGTCTCTTTTTGTCTTCCTCCTCCTTGCTCTTCCTCCTTCTCCCATTTCCCTTCTTGCAAACTCATCTGCTGGTTTCCTACCTGTACTGCTGACAGCTCAGTTTCCCCTCCCTGCCCATCCTTACTCAGCTTCCTCCCCTGTGCAACCTGGCCCTCAACTTCTGCTTTTCCCCCTCACCAAGGCAGATACGGATCCCCTCCAGCCCACTTTCCCCTCCAAGACCCACCACACCAGCATCCAAGCACTGACAGCCCCTGGATGCAACCCAACTCTATCCCACCCAACCTTGACAGCACCTTCCTACAGCTATACCAACACTTTCTGGTTTCGCAACTTGTCCTTGAAGTATCTGTTGTCAGCAATGGAAGGCTAGGAGCGGGAGAACTCTCATGAGATCATTCATCACCACAACTTGGAAATGGCTCCAAGGAGCACCTAGGGTTCTGAAGATGTTTGCAGGCACCCCACCATCATTTTTACGCTGCTTGGGAAGCTGCCTGCAGGGCTGCTTTATGAAACAGCAGAAGATATCTGGCCAAGAAAAATCAAAACAGAAGTAGACTTTTTCCAGGCGAGCGGGACGCTCGGGCCATTCTGCTGTTTGGCGATGCTCACCTCCACAAGGCCGTCTGGCCAACACCTGCTCCCTTCAAGACTTTAAAGTGCAGTTTGTCACACTTCCAGCCAGCAACACTTAACATGCTGCAGAAAACAGGTATCTCATCTTACTATGACTGTGCCTCTAAATCACCAGTGTCCTCCGGAACCAGAATGAATCTGGCAACACCCCATGCTTGCACATCTGGCACGAAGATGCTGCCCAACAGCTGTATCCTATAATCACACCAACAGCACCGGCAGTCCCGTTTCACACAGCATAAAACAAGCTGGACCAGCCACATTTTAAGTATCACTTTAGAAATTATTCTCTACAATTCCATTTTACATTTTTAATGCTGTCTGCTATTTTCCCCCTTTTCATAAGGAAATATAATACTTATATGGTCGGTTTCCCTAAACAGATGAGGTAAGGGCACTCTCTGCCACACTCCCACTGTTTATAGTGTTTGTGTCTCCAGCAATACCAGCAGCTACACACCATGGTTCATGTTAAGAGTCACTAGATCGGGACAGCTTTCCTGCTCCTAACCCTGTCTAGCCTGAAAAAAGGCAGGCACATCCTGACCAATTCCCAGAGAAGCTTTTGCAGGGTCAGAGGAAGTAGCAGGCTGGGGGGGTGGGAGGGTTGACAGTCTTAATCTTTGGGGCTCACAGGAAACAGCAAGCTAATTCCAGCCTGCCACCACTGAAAGCAAACCGCTGCAGATTAATTCCTTCTCTATCTGCAAGAGGCCTCAGCACAAGGATGCCAAGCGCTGCTCACTCAGACCGTCCATGCTAATGAATCAAAAGGAGGGAAAAGACATTTGCTGAACCCTCATGAACAGCCTGTCACTGTCAGTATTTCTCCGGGGCTCCACGTGCTGGGGAGAGCAGCAGACACCTATTGAAGCTTATCCAAAAAGCCGTCGCTGCCAGCAGCTCTGCAACACCTTTGCCTCCGCTCTCTGGCCACAACCAAGGGAGACCCCTGAAGCAACGAGAGCTACATCTTCTTGGCTGCCAAGCGAGAAATCCCTCTCGAGGACTGCCCGCTGCACACGCGTCTCCCAAATCCATCCCCCTAGATGCGGTTAAGGCCATCAGAGCAGCGACATCTCTGCACGTTAATCCGGGTTGTGTAATCATCCTGTACTGGCACAGGAGGACAGCGAAGCCGTGGAGCCGCGCAGGACGCGTCCTTGCCTGGCTGCTCCGTTGCCGATGCTCCCCGCCTCTTCCACAGCCGGATTTTCACCACGGAAGAACAAAGGTCAGTCGCTGCTCGGGACACAGCATAACCCACAGGCTGTCAGGCTCCCTACGCAGCTTGTAAAGACACATTGCATGCCCAGAGGTTTTTCCCCTTGGCAGAGCAGTGGCCGCCTACGGGGCGCAGGCTCTATTAATATTTTACCACCAGATTCCACTCTGTCCTCAAACTGTTTTGCAAGCAACCCAGATCAGACGCAATGTCTCCCCAAATTAAGATATAAATGTCAACATGAGGCAAAGCAACATAAGCATATCGTGCAAGCCCAACAAGGGCAGGGAGAATTTATTTGCTTTTGTTCCCCCCTGCCATGTATCTACAACATCCTTTTCTCCACGCCAGGAAGAAAACAACAACAAAATACTTGGGAGTTTTCATATCATCATTATTCAAACAGTGACGAGGTAGCCAGAAACACAGGATAAATGCTGAGTTCTCATAGCAACACACCTCGATGAGTAAGGAGATTAAACTCTTAAATGTGTTCCTTCCTCAAGCCTCCAGCATTTGCCAGTGTCACACCAGCTGTGAGAACCAGCACCAACAACTCAAACCATTTCTCACTGTCCTACCAGTCTAGAAACAAGGAAGAATTAAAAAAGATGCTTCTTCACATATGATTTCTGCCTGAAGCAGCATCTCCTCCTTAGTGCATGGGCTACATGAGGAACAGTTACACACACGCATAAACACACTACCAACAAAAAAAACTTTCCTTTGTTTTTCCACCTTCCTGTTGCTGTCAGCTGCTTGAGACCAGGCCCTCCCATGCGATGCTAACAAGGAAACACATCTTAGTGTTTAGACTGCAATTCTTTTTTTCAAATAACATGGCAGCTAAAAACAGTCTTTCCTCTTCCCTGGAGCAACCTCTCACTGCGCTCACTTATAGAGGCACCCTTTATTCATCCAAGGATGATAATGACTATCCAAATGCTAAAACCCAGTATTCAGCATGAAGATCATAACAGCAAGAAATTCCGTGAAGTCACCTTCAGCATCCAATTCTGAGGACTCCGTGGGGCAGAGGGAACCCAGACAAGTTCATTTTTCCCTCCACGTACCGCTGCCTGGGATCTTTCCACGTTTCTTTCCTGCTGCCCAAGCCTAGCACACTGCACAAACAAGCAACCGCCATTCTCCCTGCACTGGCTTTTGTTTCTCCCCCTTTTTTTTTTCGCACTATGTCCTGCAGCAGGAAGGTAATAACTGACCAGGGCAAAGGACATGTTTACTGTCTCCATCTTTCATTTGTTCAGGTATACACAGAGCCTGGATTGAAAAGCAGGGGATTACCATGCAAAGGGACACCAGCGTGCTGCTCTGACGCTGAAGACCAGCTCTAAAGGCTTTGGCACATTACACCATTTACTTTCACACACAGAAACTGGTTTAACTTTTTCCCCATGACCTCACGCCTTTAGATGAGGCTTTCAACAGATCAGGTTTTATTTTTCCCAGCTCAGATTTAAATGGGCAGTGTCTTCCTCTTGGAAAATTAGATAAACAGGTAAAATCACACTTCCCGATCAAGAAATTCACAGCTTGCAGAATTTATTCAATCTTTCACACTCGTGTATGATTTTCAATACCGCTACAAGAGCTTTGTTATGAACCAACATGCGATCATCACATGCCCGTATTGACGCGCGTGTCCATGCCAATAGCTTAAATCACTTGATCTCTGAACAATCCTATGACTCATGACATATGCATCCCATAATTTATCATGTTTGTGCTATGGAAATGCACCAGAGCAGCATTGCCTCAGCAACATTTACGAGTCACCTTGGCAACAAAGCAGCTTCACGGCTGCTCTCAGAACACCCGGCAAAACCTAAACGAGATGGGAGACAATTAAAGCACTTCTACTCTACTCCTTGGCTTTAATTGCTCATTAATTAGCTAACATGGCTACCTCCCTTAAATTGGGCCTTTTTAAGAAAACAAAAACTGGAAAAAATAAAAAAAAAGAACAAAACCCCATCTTTTTACGCTTCTCCAGAAGGCACGACGGAGCTTAAAGAAGACTCTCAGTACAGCAAAGCCACGCACCGCCAAGTCAGAGGAAAAGTTTAAAGAATCTGATACGGTGCCTTCATTTACTTCCCAAAAAAGTCCATCCATACATAAGCTGTACAGCTAGGAAAAGGAGCAGGTCCCAGAGCAAGCTGAAAAAAGGAGTTCCCATCCCATCAGATGCCTCTGTAAGCATCACCTGCCTGCTATTTAGCCTTTTGTTGTTGTTGTTGTCATTGCAATCGTAGATTTAGAGGAGCCAAGGGGGTGAGCAGATGCTAGGGCCCAATGGGCTCCTGCACTCCACACCAAGGCAGCAGCAAAGAACCCCACAAGCCGGTTCCCTGCTAAAATCACTGCTTTGGTTGTGGTTTTCCTCTTCGCCACCAACACCAGGCAGGTGAAGTGCTCATGCCCAACAGCTCGCCGGTTTTGCTCCTATATCTCCCGCTCACACACGTAAAGGCACGCTGCTTTGATTTTAGACAGCACTGGATGAACACTACATAAAACGAGGTGAAACATCTTTTCAGCAGCAAGATCACTTGCAGGACGCAAAAAGGAAAATGGAAGAGGTTGCAAACACTCAGCTAGTTCCCGTTCAAGAGCTTTAAAGCCAAATGCACCGACAGTGTGATGAGAAATTGGAGGGAAAGGGAAAGCAAGAGGTAAATAGCCCTGGCTCTCGCTAGTGAATAACGAAGGGAAGAGCAGGCAGAACACACCACCCCTTTGCTAGTTGCATGGTGAGAGATGCATCACAACCACTGACGGCTCAAGCCCCACCAGAGCCCAAGCCACTACACTAGCGGCATTCAAGAAGTGTGAAACTCGGCTTCCTGATTTATCAGCTGCTGTCCCAAGGGACAGGAGGGGAACCGACACAATAAAAAACTTACTGAGAGCTGAGTCTGTACTGGTAAGTATTTGCTGCTGTACAGGCAGGCATACAGAGGATGAGCTCCCTCAGCAGAACACATCTGCACCTTTAGGAGTTCAGACCTTCCGCTCAACTCTGAAAGAGCCTGTTAAGTCAGAGCCAATTAGTAGAGGAGAGGAACGTACTAACGTAAGACTGAACATACTTTCCCTGCTTCCAACAGTTACTTAATAATCTCAAACCCACTTTAGCCAGCAGATTCAAGTGCTGCAGACCTCACTAAATGATGAATTCAATGACCCACCATAGCCAGCCTTTTGCAAGGATGGGAAGGAGCTTTTTCAGCAAAACACAATGCTCTAGTGCTCTTCCTCCCCAAAGTCCTGCTAAGCAGACTTTCCCTCCCCTCCCTGCACTGATCCCTACCCCACAGACCACCATTCCCCTCTCATCCCCTGGACCCTTCTTGCCCAGCAGCCAGAACAAGCTGGCAGGACCCCAATGCTCTGCTGCTCTTTATGCTTTCCAGTATACTCAGGGTGAGATTTAACACAGGACATCACCAGGGCACCCTGAGCCCTCTGGGGAGCAAGGGAAGCTGCAAGGGGGAAAACTGGGGCAGCGTCCTGGTGAGCTTTAGCCTTTAGCACAGGAACAGCACCTGTGCCTTTCTCCCAAAATCCACCTCAGTACCGCTTAGAGAAGGGAAAGCCTGCTTGGCTTCCAGGAGCTTAGCCTGCCTCTCCCCACCCTGGTACTTCCTCTACTTCCACAGTTAAAACTTGCCCTTTCTATTTTGCCAGGCTGATTTTTGTTGAGGCTATTATTTCAGTGACAGCAATACCACAGTAACTTGATTTAGGTGAATAACCAAGCAAGTATGACTAACCAGCATGCTTTCTGCCAAAAGCATTAACCAAAGACCAGAACGATAATTCAAAGTTATTAAATTGCCTGAACAAAATTTTCTACTAGCCCTACTCATGAATTTCCACCTACAGAAGAACACACACAACCACCACTTTACACATGCACATACAAACACACAATGAAGTCTGCAGTGTTTCCTCCTGTTTTGCAATACTTTCACCATAGTTGGGGTGTTTTTTTCTCTGAGTTGTTCAAAACAACGTAGTGGCAGAAGGAACTGATCGATTCCTTGGTTATATAGGTAAAAGAAAAAAATGGGAAATTGATGGAAGCCACATGCTAACTAAAAGCTTTTTTTTTTTAAAAAAAAAAAAAAAAAAAAGCTGTTTTTCTCGCATACAGTAAAAAAAAAAATAAAAAAAAATTCCTTAATACCATTTTTTTTCTTGAAGTTTCTCTTACTTTTAGGACACTGTCACTAGCATGTATTTTCCATAGTCCTCCAACACCTTGCCACAGAGTGGAGGGAGCAGCCAGCCCCGTGTGAATTTTGCAGCCACCCACAAGCCCATGAGGACCTGCTGCACACCCCCACAGCCACTGCAGCAAGAAGTCACCCAGACAAAACAGTTTCTCATCATCTGGAGTTTTAAAGCCAGCTTTTATGGGTGACAGCCTGGTAGATCACGTCCTTTCCTGCTCTCCACCATCTTCAGTCCCCCACCTTTGCTTTGCCTGAATGCTACAATACTGGCATCTCCCAGCACTACAATCCAGCAATTTCAGGAAGCTGAATTCTTCCTTGCCTCTCTCTCTTCCCCACTTCCTTTCTGCATTTAAAATATAACCTTGGACCTTTGCCTTCCCTGGTTGATGTGGTACCCCATCCACAATTAAGGACAGTCTCCTCAAGGCGTAAATTTCAGCGACAGTTAACTATCTCCTGAAAAGCAGGTACAATTGGAACCAGTAACTTGCAGATCCCAAAAGAAGCACAGAGAGCCCCCAGCCATGGCAGCTCCATACCTGCAGAGCCTGAAGTCAGTGACTTTAACCAGCAACACCCCAAGAACACAAAGATCACGCTGCCCGCGCGGCTTTGCCACAAGCTGCCATGGCATAAAGACACATGTACGCGCTTCAGAAAGCCATCTAAATTCGCTTACATCTGTCATTGTCATTTTGGTCAGCAATGGCATCTTCCAGAGAGACAGGCTTTGGCTTCTTTTCACTGTTTCCTTTCAAGTTTTCCCAGTCTGCCTGGCTGAATCTGCAGACCTCTGAGTCTTTGGTAGCTGTTTGGCCTTCTCTCTCTTTCATCTCCAACTCTGAGAAGCGCATCATTGCACGCTAGAAAGAGAATTGATATGAAAAAAAAGTCTTGCGATAAAAGCGACTTCATTTGCCTTACCTTATATGAAAGCATTTCCAAAGAATAATCGGCTCAAAACCAAGCTTTCAGATAGATAGCTAGGGTAGGAGCTTAACACACCTGACTTGTAAAACAATGTTCTAGCATCTATATGCAAATAACCACACAATTCTTTCATATATAAGTATATATATATAAAAGATATATATAAATGTATACTGTATATAAAACAAAAAACATTCCATTTTGGAGGTAAAAAGAGACAAAAACAAAAAGAAAAGAAAAAGAAAATAAAAACAACACAAAACCGTACAATGAATAAAGACAACTATGGCCCACAAACTTCCCTTTGTGTATTCGGAAATGAAATTTAACTCAAAGGTTTATGTAAGAGTCTAGTAATAAAAATTTGAAGAACTGACCTCACAGTAAGCAGCAGGTAGACATAAAATACTGTCCTCTTGTAATCCTTCCATCTATGTAATTAAAATGGGCACTCAATGGATCATTTAGATAATTTCATCCATTTTTATAAGCATAAACCAATTCTTTTCTTAACAATGCAAAACAATTTGGCTTAACTCATCCCTTCATTTAAAGTAAAATACCTTAAGGATATTCCTATACACTATCTGTCATCCCTCAGCATCAACCTCAGTACCGCTCCTACTCTTCCCTATGTAATTAAAATGGGCACTCAATGGATCATTTAGATAATTTCATCCATTTTTATAAGCATAAACCAATTCTTTTCTTAACAATGCAAAACAATTTGGCTTAACTCATCCCTTCATTTAAAGTAAAATACCTTAAGGATATTCCTATACACTATCTGTCATCCCTCAGCATCAACCTCAGTACCGCTCCTACTCTTCCCTACAATGGCTGCAACTCCTCTCCATCAAGCGGCACGTTTGGCATGCTAATCACAACTTCTGGGTACGCTTTGCTAGCTGGCACTACAGGCCAGCTGAGAAATTACAGCCATCGCAAGCGCCACGGTAACATGCATGCCTGTCCGACTCCCCTCCGTAACTGCACAAACATTTCACACGTACATTAACATTTTTACCAGATCTTAGTAAAAGCCCTTTAAAGCTTACTAACGCGTACATAGGTAAAAACCATACATTCTATTATTTATATTGTCTCGCTCTCATTAACAAGCTTACTTTGCTATTTAAAAACGTTTTTCTGGCGAGCACACCCTGACAAAAACACCTCCTGATTTCCCCACCTGCGTTGCTTCTCTCAACTTTAAAACTTGACTGCGACTTGCCATACAGAAATAACGACACAAAGCGCGGCAGTCATTGGACCGCGCGGACTCACCTGCAACGCCCGCTGCTCCCGGCTGAGCTGGCTGGAGTCCGCGTACAGCTCGGTCGTCACACACTTGAATCGATCACCTACGTAACCGGCAGAGTTCGCGATCCTCTTGGCCAACTTTGACGGCTTGGGTTTCAGTATTTTGCCGTCGGCAGATTCTGCATCGTCGGCTCCATCTTTGGTATAGGTCTGGTTGGTGTCAATACTTGGTGCTGCTGTCCCCATGCTGAATGGCTTCGCGTCCTCCTGCACCTTGCCAAAAGCCAGAGCTGGAGCATCACTCTCATGAGCGCCTTCCAAGTAAGTGGGCAAAGGCTGGACTGCCACTCTCTCCTTAGGCTGGCTGACAGATAAATCTTCTTTCCTTAAGCTGAACACTGACGAACTCTGGGCTTGCTTGAAATTATAGGTTTCGTGAAGATCATTATTTCTTCCAAACTCCTCTCTCATTACAATAAAATCTCTGTGCTGAGACGCCTGCTCTACCTTGTGCTTTGTAGGGTCATTAGCCTGATTACTGCTTTCCGCAGCAAAGCTGGCTTTCGTTACGTTTGCTTCACTTTTAGCCTCTTGCTCGTCTCGCAGAAGATCCGGGAAAAGGTGTTTGTCACTTTTGGATGAGTTTTTACTGTGGCCAGAGCTCTGGTGCAATTTCACACTCTTGTCACTGGGTACTTCAAAATGCATCTTCCCACCGCTCTCCAGGAGCTCTGGCAACCGGCATCGCAGAGCCGGGTCCTCGTAGCGGACCCTCTCATGAGACCGTGACCTCCTTTCCACCTTCTCCTCCTTATTGATCTCCAAAGCTGAATGCTGCAGCAGCATGGGGTGCACCATGCCCATACCCAGCGCGTCTTGGTAGGTCATGAACTCCCCTCGACCCGCCGGCAGGCTGTAGGGAAGGCCGGGTTTGGGAGCCAGGTGGCCAGGATAGAGGCTGCCATTGGGCAGCAAGACAGGGTGAGGATATACGTGTCCTTTCCCATGGAGGGACAGAGGGCTGATGGCTATTCCCTCTGGCACCGGGTATGGGAGGTAACTCCTGGGGTAGGGCAGCGGTGGGGAGCGAAACGCTTCATTAGGAGGCAGGAAGATGGGGCTGGAGGCCAGGGCAGTCTCGCTTGTCTTGAAGTTGGCTTCCTGGCTGCAGGATTTGGCCACCTTACTGCTGTGTTTCGCAGGGGTGGCGACAGGCTGCCCGACATGCTGTATAACCGATGCGGTGCTCTCCGCAGAGCTCCTGGCCGTCTTGGTGCAATCCATGTTGGGATTGGGAGCTGGCGACGCTGACGCTGGCCGTCCCCCC